TCCTCTCGAGCACTGGCTGTGGATTAGCCCAGAAAGGGAGAAGTGCAGGCAGCCAGGAGAGAATGGCTAACTGAGGTCCAGCAGAGCAGCTCGTTAACACACTGTGGATAAACTCTGCTCACTTTTTGTGTTGCTAGAATAACTCCTAGAAATTCACAGAAAGGTGCAAAATCCCATCTCTCAAAGACTCTAAATGTTTTTGTAACATTTGCTTCTAAGGTTTTTTCTGGTCAGATGGGTTGGGTGACTTTTTTCATGATCACATGTCGATGTGAAGCAGATCTTACTGCCTGTCCTGTCCTTCTCTGTCACCCTCCTTCATTTGTACAATCACAGACCCCAAGCGGTGAAATGACCCTAATGTGGAAAAGCCCTGACAGGAAGCCAATGCTGGGATTTGCTCCCAGCCATGCCATTGTCCCTTAACATTCATACCAGCTGCTCCACCAGGACCACATAAAAATACCTGGCCACCTGTTCCTAGCGTGACGTGCAGCCCTCTAATGTACTTTCAAGCCTCATCACAGGCCAGCTTGGTGGTCTCATAATTATACCTCTGTCCCCCTCCCTTTATTGGAGGCATTGCCTTTGACAGACATTGAAGTTATGTGACTAGTGTGGGACACAGTAAAGAGTCGCTGAGGAGAGGTGGCCTAAAGCTACCCCATGTTTGTGACCTTGCTCCCACTTCCTTCAGACATTGTCTTACTAGAGGCCTTTCCTGACCAGTCTCCATAAAATAAAATAGGCGCCTCAACTAACACACACAGGACCTCTCTAGGGCCTTCCCCTACTTTTTCTTCACAGCATGCAGCACTTATTATGTTGTATATATGTGTGTACATAAACATTTTATATATATATATATATATATATATATTTGGTTTATTGGCTGTATCCTTCTCCCCCCTTCTACTAGAAGGAAAGACCACAGCACAGGTGGGGGGCTTTGGTTTGGCTCACAGCTGTACTGCCACCAGCTAACACGGTAGCCAGTCAATAAGTATTTGTTGGATGAATTAATGAAATCTCATATTACTGCTCCTCCAGTTTCTAATTTCAAGTTACAAGTGGACTATGAATTGTAGATTACTAGTTAAGAAATCATTAGAATCACCTAAATGAATTTAGCTTGATTTTAATCTGCCACACATTCATGTTCCATGTTCCAGGTGAAAACAAATACAGAATCCTTCAGGATTTGAGACGTAAAGTAATTGCAACAGTCATCTTTTTTTTTTTTTAAACTTTATTACATGCTAACCAGAGGTAAGGAGGGTTCCAGGAATTTGTTCCTTATTCCCTTCACTGCTTAATTACACAAATGTTCCCTGCCCAGGCCAGTCAGTATTACCTCCTGACTTCAAAATGCCTCTCTCCAGCTCTTCTGCTGTTAAAAAAAAAAAAAAAAAAAAAAGCCTGTGAAGTCAACAGGAGCAAATTTTAATTTCAGTGTGCCAGCTCACCAAACAGCTAGCTGATTGGACTTGGCTGCAAGTGGAAGGGAAAAAAAGGAGAGGTGGAAAGTGTGGGGACAAAAGTCACCAACATCTGTTTCATGCCTCACAGTCCTCAGGACATATTCCCAGTCGAGACTGAGACAAGCACAAAGGCATGTGTGAATTGCACACATTTTAAAAGTCGAGTTCATTTGCTCAGCGAGTCAAAGTTGGCAAGGAAGTGTGCCGCTTGGGAAGCGCGGCGGCGCTCCCGCCCGAGGGTTCGGATCCCACGTACAGACCGGTTCCCGCTCACTGGCTGAGCGAGGCGCGGGAGCAACACCGAGGTTTGCAATCCCGTTGCCGGTCCCCGGTCCGGTATGGGGGCAACACTGAGGGTTGCGATCCGTTGCCGGACACAGAAAAAAGACAAAAGACAAAAAAAAAAAAAAAAAAAAGTTGGCAAGGAGCCAGAACTCACAGAACTTGCTTTTGCTTTCTGCTGCCTGAAGCTTCAGCCAGACACAGTTATCTGGATAATTTAGAACATATTTACTTCTACCTCAACCAATTATTCCGGTAGAAAGGTTTTCTCCTCCAAATGCAATCCACAAGTCTTTTAAATGTTTTTATTGTGAAATATAAATATAGAAAAGCATATAAAATGGGTATGTACAGTTTAAAGAATAATAATAAAGTGAACCTCATGGGTTAAGAAACAGAACATGCACCTCAGAAGACCTCTAGCACACTCCCCCTCACCTCCCTCTTTCTCCCCAGAGGTAGCCACTATCCTGACCTTAATTTCTTAAGCACGTTACCTACTTGTGAATCTCTAAAAACCATGTTTAGTTTTGAAAAACTGAGCAGCAAGTACAGCCCTAGCTTTGTAAGGAAAAGACAATAATGCCCCTGTGAGATGCAAGCTCCCAAGACATAAGCAGAAGTTCCTGGGCAAAGCCTGGCCTCAGCTTACCCCCAAGTTCTCCAGAGCCTCTCTAGGAGTGGGTGGCAGGGCTCTGTGTGAACGAGGTGCTGGTTGCCCAACAGAAATGTGGTCAAAGGGAATTGGATGTTCTGGATTTTCTGCCTTTGGACTCAGTGCAACTGCAGTGGGTTGAAGCAGATATGCCTGGAGGACATCAGCGTCCCCAGGTAATCTGGGAAGCAGGGTGTTTACTTCTTCAGTACACAGATAAGTGAGCCAGGTACACCTGGGCACTTTGTCTTCAGGTAGGAGGGCAGCTGGTTGCTCTGTGATCATAACCCTTAACATGGCTGACCCCTGAGTGATCACCAGTCAAGATGGGCTGCCTTCTAGGCGGGAGGACAGGGTGCTCTCTCCGGTGCGCATTTCCTCTATCTCATGTCTTCCTTTTTCCTTGGTTTACTTCCTCATTTTTATTTTTTTTTATTTTTTACTTATTTATTTATTTATTTTTTAAAAGATGACCGGTAAGGGGATCTTAACCCTTAACTTGGTGTTGTCAGCATCATGCTCAGCCAATGAGCCAACCGGCCATCCCTATATGGGATCCGAACCCGGGGCCTTGGTGTTATCAGCACCGCACTCTCCCTAGTGAGCCACAGGCCGGCCCTACTTCCTCATTTTGATGGAGCACGTCCTCTGGTAGCTTCCTGAGAAAGGGTGAAAGGAAGGATGTAGACAGACAAGACTGCCTGGAGGCAACTGGCCAGGGCTCCAGCTGCACTGACCCACCTCTCCTCTCTGAGGGCCTCTGGGAACTCAGCCCACCAGCTGTGCAGTTCGGATCTGGACTCAGTAGAAACTATCAACGTGAATGGAGTCTCAGGAAACTAGGCAGGTCTCGAACTGAGCCTGGAGGGACTTAAGTAGGCACTCAGCACAGGCCTGCCCTTGGAGCACCCTCAGAAAGACATACATGCGGTGCAGGCACAGACAAGAGCCTGAGGCTGGGGCCACAAGAATTTCAAGGCCTGCAACATGGACCTTAGGCCTGCACCCCCCGTGCTCCCTGGCAGCAGGATTTGAGCCTATAGAGCAGTGTGCTTCTGAGTGCTAGGAGGCTCTGCTCCCCATCTGGTAGTCCTCCCCCCATCCACGTGCTGACAGGACACCACACTCTGGCTGTTTCTCGATGAGATTTAAGGGAGGCATCGGGAGTGATGCGCCATGTGCCTGGCTCCCCACTTGCGGCTGGGAGTAAAGCAAAGTGAAAGCAATCTGAAACTGAGTTGGAGTCATCATTCTCCTCCACCTTGAACCCGGGCGAGCCTCGGTGGTCTTAGTAAGAGCACGTGTTCTGGGAGCAGAGTACTTGAGACCCACTCCTGGTCCCACTAGTGGCATGGTCCTGGGCAGTTCATTATCTGGGTTCCTTGTCTTTAAACTCATGGGATATTAGAATCACCTGGGGAGATTTAAGCTGCAGCCGAACAGATGCAATTGTTCTGCAGTGAGACCCACTGAAAACCCTCAGTGAATCCTGTGTGATGAGAAACACTGACAGATGATTCTAAGGCCTCTTGTAGAATTATGATTCAATAGTTTTGACAAGGAGATAACTAAACTGTAGATAATATTTTGCAAAATAAAACCCAAGTGGTAATGTCGCTGGGTAACCTCAGATCCCTGACATGCACTCTTGTAAATATGCATTGTTCTCTAGACTCCAACATGATTTAGAAACTACAGTGCAAGCCCTGCCTTTGATTATGTCTGAGAGATGTGAGCATTCTTTAACGTGCCTTGAGTTAAACATTCACTCATTTTCTTAAGGCTTTTACTCCCGAGCCTAGAGAATAGGATGGCTATTTCTTCACCTCCACCTATCCATTTAAAAATCACTCATGGATTTGCTTCTAATCAGGGTGGAGTAGTGAGGGAAGGATAGATGAAACAAGATTGGCTGTGAGTTGATAATTGTTGAAGTTGGGTGACAGGGCATTATGTTCGACCACCTGACATCACTGTATTTGATCTTTTTGACCTACATAAATGGAATTTTCATATGGTTTAAATACTTTTTTATATATATTTGAAAATTTTCATAATGGTTAACTCATGCACTCAGTTTTTTTTATTTTTTAATTTTTTTTATTTTTTAAAAGATGACCGGTAAGGGGATCTCAACCCTTGACTTGGTGTTGTCAGCACCACGCTCAACCAGTGAGCGAACCGGCCATCCCCATGTGGGATCCGAACCTGGGGCCTTGGTGTTATCAGCACCGCACTCTCCCGAGTGAGCCACGGGCCGGCCCACTCAGTTTTAACATATTAGCACATTAATGTTTACAAGTCCACCTCCTTTTTCTTCCATCCCATGCCACCAGGCAATAACAAGGCCTGTGACATTTTGTCTTAAGGCACAGATGCTCCAAACCTTGATGCCATGCAGGGTGCCCAAGTGAGCACAACTAATTTCATTTTTAATAAGTGGGTCCAAGCTGGACTATAAACTGAGGCTGGTAATAAAAGATCTGAGAATCCGGTTGTTACTTCAATGTCCAGGTTGTAAGTGAGCTGAGAATAATAAAGGAGGCAATTAAAAAAAAAAAAAAAACAACAACAGACGTGAGGTAGATGCTCAGGAAGTGTTTGTTGAATTAATTAATTTGCTTTTGATCCCCTTTTCAAGTAGGGCTTTTTCTTTTCCAGGGTGGTGGCTGACCAGTACAGGGACCTCAGTATTATAACACCACGCTCTAACCAACCAGCCCCCTCAAGGAGAGTTTTATCTGAAAAATTGACTTCCTCACATGCTGTGAAATAGCATTTCTATAGCTCCCTGAACTCAGCTATTTACCTCACGCAGTATCTTCGCTTCTAAAGCCTTCTGCAACCACGGAACTCATTTAGTTTTCTGCAGTACTAATTTTAAGAAATTTCAATCTAGCAAAACTTCTTGGAATCTGAAAAGAAGACCCACTGTCCACTTTCCAGGCTCACAGTCAGCCAGAGTGGGAGAGCAGGGTTTCCTGTCTGTGCAGGAGGTAATTAGAATTTTGGCTGTAATAAATATTTATAATCTCCTCTTGAAAGAGGAGATTTCTATTTTGAAGAAAGCTCGTGTAGGCCAGGCTCTTAGAAACAGTTTCTTTTGAATGCCTTGGCCATATTGAGGGCTCCTCAGCAAGAGAGAAGTATGTACTGCTAAAAAGGCTTCTGAACAGCAAGAACCAAATGCCAGAGGAAGCCCCACCTACAAAACCTTGCCAGCTAGTCTTCAGACAGCCATGAAGTTCCACTTTGGTAGACACCTGGGGTGGAAACAACATCAAATCTCCATAAATCTCGCCAATATGAACTGTGCCTTGTGCCATGGAATTAAGTGATTCAGTTGTTCAATTAAAAAGTTACTTTGTTCTTATTATGTGTCAAGTGCTATAGATGCAAAAGTGAGTGGGGGTCTGCCACTGAGACTCTCAGCCTAGTATTGTACTTAAACAGCTGATCTAAAAGGAGCGCCACAGTCAGTCCAGGTCAGTGGAAAATGCAGTTTGAGCCAAAAGCAGAGGGATTGGGCAAACCTTCTCAGGAAATGGTATTGAAGTCCTAAAGCTGGCCCTGTGGGTGGTAGGCAGAGAAGGCGTTCTGGAAGCAGGAACATTGTGAACAAAGGCTCAAACATGTGAAAGAACAGGGCGTTCTAATGGAATGACAATAAATCCAGTCAAAGAAAGAGGAGACAGGTGTCACAGATGGGTTGATGTCAGATTAAAAAGTCCGTGTATAATCAGACTGATGAATTTATGCCAGTGACGGATGTTCAGCAGAGAAGTGACAAGATTCACTCATATTTTGGAAAGGCAATCCTGGTTTCAGGATACAAGAGATTGGAACAGGAGATTAACTGGGAGGCTATAGTAATAGTCATGAAAGGTGATGACAGCCTGAAGTAGGTCAATGTCTGTGAGAACAAAGGGACAGATTCCAGAAACATTTCTAAATAATAAATGGCGGTGACAAATCAGAACTGAAGATGTCAAGATTTCCAGTTTGGGTGATGAGGAATAAGGGAGGAAGAGCAGGTATGAGGATGGAGGTGAAGTGAAAAGCTCGTGTATTCCATTTGAGTTTTCCCATGCTGAGACTTTCTTTGGTCTTGGAAGACAGAATGGCTGTCACATAACGTGAACTCTTCGCTTCCACATCTGAGAAAGAGCTCTCTGGAACATTTGCTGAGTATCTCTCTCCTCCCTTCAGGGGCAAGCCTTACTTGTCAGTGGGGCCAGACTGCACATTGTCAACATGCAATCTAAAGGAAATTCCAGAAGGCAAACACTTATCCAGATAACCTTGCTGGCTGCATACGTCTTTGAAGCTCATGTTCACAAATGGAGTTCCTGGGAAGGAAGAGAGAATGGCATTTGTGGCGGGTTAACCTCATCAGCAAAATTCAGCTACTATTCACCTTTTCCAACCTCGTTTTCTCTCCACTAGCCAGATCAGAGGGCAGCATGAGCCAAGTCCCTGGTGTTTCAGAGGAAAAGGGAGGAAAGGGTGGCTGACCTCCTCTAGGGATACGAAAACATATGTGGTTCTTTACTTTTAAGTAACCCACATTTTCAACATTGATTAACCATGACTTACACATAAGTACTTTCACTTTGAGATTTTTAACTTTTTTTTCCTGTCCGGCAACGGGATCGCAACCCTCGGTGTTGCGCCCGCACCTCGCTCAGCCAGTGAGCGGGAACCAGTCTGTATGTGGGACCCGAACCCTTGGCGGGAGCGCCGCCGCACTCCCAAGCGGCGCACTGTAGCAGTGCGCCACCGGGCCGGCCCGAGATTTTTAACTTTTTAAGTGAACATACTTGCACAAAAGAGCACAGGTGAGCAAGCCTATGGCACAATGAACCTTCTTTAAGGAAAACACATCCATGTAACTGTCACCCCCACGAAGAGGACATGGCCACTACCCCAGAGGCCCCATTTCACATTCTCTCCCAGCCACCACCCTCCCAAAAGTAACCATTGACCTGACTGCTGATGGCATCAATTAGCTTTTTACTTTTTGAACTTTAAATATTAATAAGTGGAATCACCCTTGTTTTGGGGTCTGGTTTCCTTCACTCAACACCTGTGAGAGTCACCTGGGTTGTTGCACATAGTTTGTCATTGCTAGGAGATATTCAAATGTGTGAAAATACCACGTTCATCTGCTCTATTGTTGATAGTTATCTGGGTTTCCAGTTTTGGTCTGTTATGAACTATGCTATTTTGGTGAACATGTGTATGCATGTTCGCATATACATATGCATGCAGGAGTGGAACGCTGGGTTATGGGCTATTCACATGTCCTTTTGTTGTTTTTCACAACAAAGTCAGACTTCTGTGACTTGAGTGAACACTTGAAGTTCTCAGATGGAGAGGTTGTGTACCAGCCAGCAGTCAAATTTTGACAGACATGTTTTTGAAGAATGGTTAATTCCTCTCACATTTATTAAATGCTTCCTGAGTGCCAGGCCCTGGGCTGCGTGCTAAGGAGACAAGACCGACAGGATCCCTCCCCTCAGGTAACTTAGCGAGAGACCCAAAGGAGTCAGACAAGTGCCAAATTTGCATGTTTTAACATTTTTGTATTCGTGCTTATCTTGTAAAAATATGTTGAAATTGGAAAGTGAATGCTGATACTAGTGATAAGCACACATCGGGTAAATCTAAAACAGTGAAGATAAGGGTGGAGTTGGAGTGCTGAGAGATATCATCTCATGCCAACTTTATTTGGCTTCTCAGCTTTGGAATTTGAGTAGTGCAATTTCTAATAATGAGGGGTTTATCCAAAAAATGTATCCAAATATTGAGCGTCTGAGTTCAAGCAGTGAGAAGTTGAATAGTGACAGACACCCATAAATGGCTGAAGACTATGTTTAAAAAGTATAGGGAAATTAGGCATTTTCTAACCCTTTTAGCTTTTGGAAATAAAGTCCTCTTGTAAACATGACTTTGACATGTTTTCAGCAATAACCAGTGCACAAAAGTGAGAGGCTGCCTGGTCTGTTTCCCAGCAACACCAGCCCCTCCTCCAGGACTTCATTCTCTGCTCAGAACACTTACTTCCCTCCTTTCCTTCTCAGCCTTCAGGCCTCAGCTGAGACATCACTCTCTCCGGGGAACATTCCCTGACCCAGATTTTGGACTAGTCGCCCCTCCTCTGGCATCTATGCTTATCCCTTCATAGCCCTTCTCACGCTGGGTTGTAACTGCCCTTTACTTGTCCAAATGCTGTATTAATTTGGATATCAGTTTGGCTATGTTATATTTAACAGAGACTAAAATATAAACAGCTGAAGCGAGACAAAGGTCACTCGTAAGTCAGGCCAAGGGACAGCCTGAGGAGCGAGGAAACACTGCTGCACAGGTTGCCCAGGTATCCTGGTTTCTTAAGTCTTATTATTTTTTTTTTGTCTTTTGTCTTTTTTCCGTGTCCGGCAACGGATCGCAACCCTCAGTGTCGCCCCCGTACCGGACCGGGACCGGCAACGGGATCGCAACCCTCGGTGTCGCCCCCGTGCCTCGCTCAGCCAGTGAGCGGGAACCGGTCTGTATGTGGGATCCGAACCCTTGGGTGGGAGCGCCGCCGCGCTTCCCAAGCGGCGCACTATCCAGTGCGCCACCGGGCCGGCCCTAGTTGGTCAGTTTCTGCTCAGCAACTGCCTGCTGTTCAACCTGTCCCACAGCTGATTGTGAAGCTGATAGACAAACAGCCTGTTTGATCTCCTATATTCTTTACATTTTATAGGTAGGCCAAATTAAACCACCAGAAAGTTGAGTCTTCAGACCTAGCATTCTATTAAAAAAATCTTTGCTTTTTCTCATAATTTACATCTGTGATACTACAGACTCTCTCTTTTGAGCTGGACGATATCAAGCAGAGTCAAATTTACTAATCAAATTTAAATTTAATCACCGTGTAAGAACCTCTGGTGCACATACTTCTAACTTTCCCTTCATTCTGAATCATCTGCCTCTATCACATGATCCTGACTTGCTTTTTTGGGGGGGCTCCTTGCTGAGTCCTACGCCCCACTCCTCAGATAAACAATGTATGTCTCTTCATGGGGTATTGTCATACTCTGTCTAGGTGTCTGCAACCTTCTGTGAACTCTTCAAAAAAAAGAGAACTGTGTAACCCTCATTTGACCTTTGTAACCATGATTTGCTTTTATTTTTTTCTCCATTTTATCAATTATATTCTTAAAAGTAGCCTAAACATTTTTGTAGAATGAAGTAAAAATTTAGAAAGAAAGAAAAATAGATAACCAGAACTATCTATAGATAGCCTCAGAATATATTGTAAGCAACTCTGCAAATGATGAGATTAAACGTGACACAAATTAAGCCCTTCAGGAAGTATCAGGTAGGGACTCGTCAGAGACAGAGAGGCCAGCAGAAAGAGCCAAATCTGGGACAATTTTAACATCAAATAATGATGATAATGGATAGCACATTGAACAAATAGTAATACTTGAACTTGATGAGGGATGGAATATTTACAGTTTCAGAGTACCTTCCCACAAAGTACATACAAATTTCAAAGGGCTAAAGAGTAAGTTTATAATGTGAGAAGTCTGGCAGAACCACCTTAATCAAGTCATCAAAGTGAATGTCATTAGTAATGGGGCAAACCAAAATTGCATGCCACCTGACAAGATGCAAAGGCTACAGTGTCACCTTGCGATAACCCTGCAGCAGACGCATAACCAGTCTAATCTGGAGGAAACATTAGACAATTCCAATTGAAGGCATTCTAACTGGCCTGTGACCTTCAAAAATATCAAAAGTCAAGCCAGGACTAGTTGGGTAGCTCAGGTGGTTAGAGCACTACCTTGTTAACAGTAAGATCAACAGTTTGGATCTCCATACTGGCCAGCTGCCAAAAAAAATTAAAAAAAGTCAAGCCAAAGGAACTGTTTCAGACTTTAAGGAGACTAAAGAGACAGCAACCCATTGCAATGGCTAATTCTATACTGGACCCTGGATAACTGGATAAACTTGAATGGAGCCTGAGGATTAGATGGTAGCAATGCATCAATGTTAATTTGCCGATTTTGATGGTTGGTTATTATGCAGAAGAATACCTTGGTGTGTAGGAATGTACATTAAAATGCTTAGGGGTGAAGGGGCATCAGGTTGGCCACTTACTCTCAGATGGTTCAGGGGAAAAAAATTCCTTGTAATTTTTCTGTATGGTTGAGATTATTCAAAATAAAAATTTTATTTAAAAACATATCAGCTATTTTATTTCAGCAGTTAAAATTTTTTTCTTTTTCTTAAAGAGGAAGTAGGATGACTTCACATAAGGCTGGTCAGATGGGAAGAATCTTCAGCTTCAGCTTGGCCTCTTTAATTTGAAAATACAATGCTTCTACGAGACCACACCTGTGTCAACATGTGGGCTTCTCTGCCTGCTCGATGCACTGGACGCCTCCTCGTTGCACTGGATGCCTCCTCCAAGCTGACTGAGCTGTCACCAGCTGAGGGACTGCTTCAGAGCTTCGTACATCACTCGATCCTGAGAGGAGGAGGAAACAGAATACAGAGCTGATCACTGCTTGTTGTAGACTGAATGGTGTCCCCCCCCACCCCAATTCATATATTGAAGTCCTAACCCATGGGACCTCAGAACATGACTGTATTGGGAAATAGGGTCTTTAGAGAGGTGATTAAGGTTGATGTCATATCAACCTAACCCAATATGACTGGTGCCCTTACAAGAGGACATTAAGATATGCACATACAGAGGGAAGACCACGTGAAAACACGGGGAGAAGATGACCTCCTACAGGGAGAAAGGCCTCAGAAAAACCAACACTGACAACACCCTGATCTTGTATGTCTAGTCTCCAGAACTGTGAGAAAATAAAACTTCTGTCGTTTAAGCCACCCAGTCTGTGGTAGGCAGCCCTAGCTGACTAGTACATTGCTAAAGACAGCTGACCTCACCTCCCTGTATATAATCCTCTGCTCCTTTCCACAGGGAATGCCCATGATTTTCATAATTGTTGATTAAAGTTTGCCCTTCAAAAGATTTTTATCTAATTAGTGAAGAAAGCAAAATTCTAAACTATACTTCCAGGATGTTTTCCAGTGTGGTATATCATTTTATATTTTCAGCAACAACGTATGAGCGTTCTAGCTGTTTCACATCCTTGCCACCATTTGGTGTTACCAATCTTCAAAATTTTAGTCATTCTGGTAGGTATGAATCCCACTGTGATCACATCAATGTTTTGAGTGTTGAGTGGCAATTCCACTCCTACATATTTACTCTAAAGAAATATGTACAGTGTGTTTTGTTTTCTGGCCCTTTAAAATCTATTTTAAAAATCCAATTTTGTTAAGTTTTTCTTTTGGATAGGTGAACGTTACAAGGTTCAAAATACATAAAAAGTTATAAAGTGAAAAAAGGCTCTCTCCCACCCATCCCCTCCCTCTCAGGTAAACAATGTGTCCTTCTAGATTTTCCTTCTGCATTTACAAGCAAATACTAAAATTCATTATTTTTTCCTCTTTCTTTACATCAATGACAGCATATTATACACACAATTCCTCCTCTTTTTCTGTATATTTAGGAGATACATAAATTCTTTAATCTTTTTAGAACAGTTATATCATAATTCACTATAATTTTTTTTTTTTTTTTTGGTGACTGGCTGGTAAGGGGATCCAAACCCTGACCTTGTTGTTATAACTCTGCGCTCTAACCAACTGAGCTAACCAGCCAGCCCACTATTATTTAGAGTTCTAATTTTTAGCTATTATTACACACAATGGTCCAATGAATAAATAACTTTATACTGAGGATAAATTCACAAAAAGGAGTTGCTGGGTCAACTTTTGTTGTAATATTAATTTTGGCAGACATGTCAAACTGCCATCTAAAACAGCTGGTCTGATGGACAGCCCACCAGCTGTGGCGAGGGCACCTGTTTCTGTACACCCTGGCCAACTGAGTGGGACCAAAGTTTTGAGATTTTTGCCAACTGACAGGAAAAACATAGTATCTTAGCTGCTTTTTTTTTTTTATCATCAGTAAGTTGAGTTTTTTCTTTTCTTTTTTTATTTTAAGAATATCAAGAGATATTGTTTATTATTATCTACCAGACCTTTTAAATTATTATTATTATTTTGTTTGTTTTTGGTGGCTGGCTGGTACAGGGATCAAACACAGGACCTTGGTGTTATCAGTACACGCTCTAACCAACTGAGCTAACCAGCCAGCTGAAGACCTTTTAAATTATTACTTATTTTAAATTTAAGTAGGTAATACATTCACATGGTTCAAAATTCAAATAGGATAAAAAGGTCAACTTTCTCTCACACCACTGTCTTCCAGTCAGTTTCCCTCTGCGTAAGCAATCATTATTATTAGTTTCAGAAGTGCTTTTAAGGACAGTTAATATGCCAAACAAGGAAAGCAGTCTCTTTATTTTGATGTTATGCCTATTTTTTTTTCAGTATTTTTTTTTTAAATATAATTGATTATACATATTTGTGGGGTACAGGGTTTACTACCAGTATTTGTGTACAATATATGATAATCAAATCAGGATAGTCGGCATATCTGTCATTATAAAATGTACTCATTCTTTGGGTCCATTAACCAATTTCTCCTTAATCTCCCTCCCACATAACAAATTCTGTTCTCTCCTTCTGAAAGTTCAATGTATTATTGTTTGTTGTTATGCCTTATTTTTAAAAATATCAAACACATTAATAATCAGCTTGGTCATCTACTTTGTATTATTTACCGAAATTCATACTATGCCTTTTTCTAAAAGACAAGTAAAGATTTATGACCACAAAAGATATTCAAAAAAATGTACTAGAATCAAGCAGCATCATTAGGACATGTATGCAGCCTTCCAAGGGATATTCCTAAAAGGATAAAAAAATTCTACCATGTCTGGAATTATAGGTTCAGATATTTTTTGTCTTGTTTTGCAGCTGGCCAGTATGGGGAATCCAAGCTAGGTTCAAATTTAAAAAAATAATAATTAAAAAAAAATTGGTCACATTGTCATGTAGTTGATACCTTCTAAGCAAAATCTACTTGCAAACCATTTTCTAACATAAACAGAATTTAACAGCCAGGTTAATAGGTACTATATGTATACATCTGTGATAGTGCTCAGCATATAAAACTTTTTTTTTTTTTTTTTTGGTGGCTGGCCAGTACGAGGATCAGAAAATCTTGGGGCCAGCCCGGTGGCGCACTGGATAGTGCGCCGCTTGGGAAGCACGGAGGCGCTCCTGCCCGAGGGTTCGGATCCCACGTACAGACCGGTTCCCGCTCACTGGCTGAGCGAGGCACGGGAGCAACGCCGAGGTTTGCAATCCTGTTGCCGGTCCCCGGTCCGGTACGGGGGCAACACTAAAAAAAAAAAAAAAAAAAAAAAAAAAAAAAAAAAAGAAAATCTTCACCTTGGTGTCATATAAATCTTAATTGTTCAAGAAGATTAAGAAACATGTCTTATGTGAACTTTTTTTATCTTGTGAGTCTAGCACAGAGCCTGACACACACACACATTAGGAACATGATGTTTGTGGATGAATGCAATGACGGGGTCTTAGGCAACCCATTAATACAGAGATAGGGGTAAGGGGGACTCTGACTTTAGAAGTTTTTCTCTCAGGGCCGGCCCGGTGGCTCACTCGGGAGAGTGCGGTGCTGATAACACCAAGGCCCCGGGTTCGGATCCCATACAGGGATGGCCGGTTTGCTCACTGGCTGGGCGTGGTGCTGACAACACCAAGTCAAGGGTTAAGATCCCCTTACCGGTCATCTTTAAAAAAAAAAAAAAAAAAAAAAAAAAAAAAGAAGTTTTTCTCTCATAAACGTCAATGTGACAAATAATCAGGCAAATGGATGAACAGGTCCAGAGTAACTAAACAGTCACATGGAGATAAGTAACCTCTACCTCACATTAAATACCAAAACTACTTTGAAATGGATCACAGACCGAAACGTAAAAACTAAAACTATAAAACTTTTAGAAAAAACAAGGGAGAAAAATTTTATGAACTTGGGATAGGCAAGATTTCTTATGACAGAAACAAACAAACCATAAAAGAAAAAAATGATAAACTGGACTTTATCCAAATTAAAAACTCTTGTTATTCAAAGGATGCCTTTAAAATAAAAGGTAAACCACAGATTAGGAGAAAATATCCTTAACAGGTATATCTGATAAAAGACTTCAATCTAGAATAAACTAAGAATTTATACTACAATTCAGTAATGAGAAAAACAACTCAATTTTTAAAGAAAGAGCAAAAGATGAAGATACAAAACAAGATATCCAAACGACAAATAAGCACATAAAAATATACTCAACACTGTAGTGATCAGGGAAAAACTAAACTATAACAGATACTATTTCACATCCAGTAGAATAACTAAAATTCAAGACTGACAATACCCAAGTGCTGGTAAGAGAGTGGAACAACTAGAACTCTCATAAAATGCAGAATGGTACAGCTAAAGTTTCTGGAAAACAGGCTGTCAGTTTCCTATAAATTTAAACGTACACTTACCACATGACCCAGCAATTCCTCTTCTAGTTATTTACTTGGGTGAAATAAAACCTCATGTTCACATAGGTGTGTGCATACATATAATATATATAATATAGACAATATATATGTGTGCATATACGTATGTACGTGTGTGTATAAAATTCCAGAGCAGCTTTATTCATAAAAGCCAAAAAGTGGAAACAACCCAACTGTCCACCAGTAGGTGAAAGGATAAGCAAATTGTGGTTTACTCATGCAATGGCATACTAGTCAGCAAAGGAAAGGACCAAACTACTGAAAAACAGAATGACATGGATGAATCTCAAAAACATTACACTGAGCAAAAGAAGCCAGACACAAATGAGTACTTGTTTTATGATTCTGTTTTTACAAAGTTCTAAAACAGGCACAATTAGAGTATGGTGATAGAAATCAGATCTGTGGTTACTACAGGGTTAGGTAAGGGACTGACCACAAAGAACTTTGTGGGAACTTCCTGAAGTGATAAAAATATTCTGTATCTTGACTGCAGTCCTGGCTACATTTGTCAAAACTCATGGAATTGTACACTTAAGCTTGTGCATTACTGCATATAAATTAAATTTCAATTTAAAAAACTAAGATTAGAGGATGAGTGTGGCAAATACGGAACTATGTCAGTACGTCCTAATACTTGAAAAGCCTCAAAACTCAGGCTGTAGGTAAAAAATAATTTCAATTAAAAATATATTTTTTCAAATGACTAAATCTTTGGGAGGACAATCACTACTAGTCTCTTGTTGATAAGAATGAAAAGGACCAATAATATTAATTGCAAAACTGTTTCTGATTTTAATTAATAACATTGTATTTTATTCAAAGATGTTCAGTAAAAAATATTTCCGCTGGTATACAAAAACGCCTGAGGTTAAAGCAGACTATTGTTTTCTCCAAATATGGTGGAAGACTCAGTCCAGGTTCAGCAAACTCTTACTTTACTCTAACTGAAAATGTCATGCACCTGAAAAATACCACCACCAGCCCCAAACCCTTAACCAGTTATTATTTTTTAAAATTTTACTATTTTTTTGAAAAGATGACCGGTAAGGGGAATCTTAACCCTTGGCTTCGTGTTGTCAGCACCACGCTCAGCCAGTGAGTGAACCGGCCATCCCTATATAGGGATCCGAACCCACGGCCTTGGTGTTAACAGCACTGCACTCTCCCTAGTGAGCCACAGGCCAGCACCCCTTAACCAGTTATTTTAAAGTGACAAGATGGTCAACTCACTTAGAACATTTAGACCAAGAGTGGTGGCACTGAAACACAGCAACTCATTTCATGCAACTGTTTTGAACTCTGACTAATAGTTTCCAATCAATAATTATAATGAGAAATGCTGAGATTGGAGTAATAAATGGCTAAAGTATCTGGTTTTAATACAGTCAATAAACAGGTTCTCATGGCAAAGGCATGTTATATATCTAGGAGTCTGGAAACAGTATGATATTCAAGTGAACAAAACTTACACTACATTATCAAATTCAGACATTTCTTAGGGTTGGATATTTCCCTGACAACTCTCTTTGTAATCATCACAATAAACCAACTTCACTTTGTAGCAACTATTTTAACTTACTACAAGGAGAAAACCTCAACACAGTAAGAAATAAACATATAAAACATGGCATTTTTTGTTAAAAAAAAAAAAAGAAGAAGAAAAAGTCAGTGATTTTTTAATCCTCCTCCTACCTTATGGTGAAATTTGGGTTTTTTTGGCAGTTGGCCAGTACAGAGATCTGAACCCTTGACCTTGGTGTTATCAGCACTATGCTGTCCCAAGTGAGCTAACCGGCCAGCCCCAAAGATACTTTTTCTTCCTTAAAATGTATGGGGTAAGTCCCTATGGCTTAATTTGGGTATAGTCTAGCCCCAAGAATATAAACCATTTGTCAAACAGGGTGGGGTAGATCAAATAATACTTGAATGAGAATGATTGATAATTCTGAGACTGTGGAAACAGACACAAGAGGTTAGAGGATCTGGTTAGGAGAACTGTGTTCCAGTCTCTAAGAAACACAAAATTTAAATCTCTCAAGAACACTCTCACAAAGGCAATTATTTGGCTTGTTTTCAGGTCAAAATGTAATATGCAATTTCTTTCAGGAAGAAAAATGGCATGTAAAACCTAATCAGTAAAACAGAATTACACAATTCATGAGTTCCTATCTACTGGTCGCAATTCTAGTCTTCTTTCTCTATACCTTTAAGAGCATTTCTTACCTTTTTTGATATAGATGGTTTTACTTTCTCGAAAGCTTCTTCAAAGTTCTTATGACTAACCTTGAGTTCACCTATAGAACAAGTGCATAAATATATACATTTCAGTATAGCATGCTGTAATTTGTAACTTAGTTTCTCTTGAAAGACTTCTAAGCCTTCAAGAGGAACACTAATAAAATTAGTGTTAAGATGGGCTCTATTCCTTTTCAGAACAGTCTTCAGACCAGATATATTCTGCTCATTAGACTCTAGTCAGGTACCAAAGAGACCTATCATTCAGAAACAGGCAGCCCTTTTGTAGGCACTCTCTACAGTGTTTAACTTAACTTAATGGTGATGTTTATGAAGAAGAAATTTTTTTTTCTTTTAAGATCATTCAAATAAATTTAACTGGGAATGGAAAGTAGAATTCCATAGTATTCAAGAATGTCTAGGGGCCGGCCCGGTGGCGCACTGCTACAGTGTGCCGCTTGGGAGCGCGGTGGGGGCGCAGTGCCAAGGGTTGCGATCCCGTTGCCGGTCCCGGTCTGGTACGGGCGTGACACTGAGGGTTGCGATCCGTTGCCGGACACGAAAAAAGACAAAAAGAAAAAAAAAAAAAAAAAAAAAAGAATGTCTAACACATAATTAGATGTTATGGAGTTATAATATCACTATATATATATATAAATATATATATATATCACAACACTGGCTTAGAAAGAGGTTATAATTCTTATAAGGTTATGCTATTACATAAGTAAGCGAAATAAAATAGCTGAATGTTAAATACAGTTTAGTTTAGAATGTTAATATGACAACTTACATGATGACAATTTGTATTTAAAACAGTAAACTTTCTACACAGATATTAGGATAGTATATGTACTTTATAATAAAATGTGTTCTTCAACGTATCAAATGGAAGTTGAATGGCATTACTGACTTTGGTTTCAGTAAGATATCAATTGAAAGTCTCTAAAGGACATTTCCAGCTGGAAATAAAAGTTGTAGCACAGCAGGAGTGTCAGAATTTGTTATAAATGTTGATAAGACAAAATCCAAACAAGATTATTAGTAGCAGCACCAATACATGTACAATAGCCTGTTAATTTTTAGTGACCAAACATATCTGAAGATACTGACTAGATTCAGATCTCAGGTAGCACATAGGATTTTTTTTTTTACAAGATATTCTAATTATACTTACTTATATATCACCTGCTTCCAAAAGGAATTTAATGTAGCTTACAATAAAAGAAGATCAGATAATTGAATCTTAAACAACAAAAAAACCCAAAGGACTTCATAAAGAAGACATGTGCTGAAACATCTAAGTTAGCATATATAGCCGTTACTTTAAACAAAATTCAGCTCTAAGATTCTTGGTAGCCAAAGAAAAAAAAAGAAAAGAAAAAAAGGGAAAATAAGTACAAATAAAAAAAGACATCTTTTGGAAATCTATTCAATAAAAAAATCAATACAGACTTGAACTGCAGATGAAAGTACAGGTTTAGAGGAAAAGGTAGGGCTTTTTGATGAAAGGTATTCTTTAACACCTTCAATTTGCCCCTCCCCCAAGTAGTAAGATCATTAAATTAAAGATCATTACTGTAAAGATATGCATAAACTGCAACTGATCAAACAACTGTCAGAGGAAGCAAGCAAAGTAAAGGCTATTTCTGTACTTGGCATAGTTGGAATGCAGGTCACAGATGACTCTTTTTTGGCCACAACACCCAAATATTAAAATCAAAGATATTGTCAAAAGTAGAAGGATGGTGCAAAGCTGTTGAGAGGGCCCCAAACTGTCACTAGTAAAATACATGGATTTTGTATTTTGAAAGGAATGTCTGAATATATGGGAAGTTATTCCAATTTTCACTTCTTGTGTGTGTATTTTCTAAGCTTTCCAATTTAGGCTGCACTTTAATAGGCAAGTAGCTATCCCCTTAGCAAAATGAGGTTTCCCAGAATTGGTAAGTAGACCAATCTCATGATGAAGACAGTGAATGGACCCACCTACCTATATCTAATCATCCATATATGATGACAAGATATAATACTCTTTATTAGAGAGGCAGTAAATAACTTTGGTGCGATTATAATTGTCAGCAAATTGTCATAATATTCCAGAACATCTTCTAAAGGTCTCATCAGAAAAATGTCAACTATAATGTCACAGATAATAAATGCTAGCAAATGGTCATTTTCCAGGGGAACAGTGGTTTTAAGTACCTAGGATGACTATTAAGTAGAACTGAGAAGTTATGAAGAGAATCGTACCTTTTTCATTTCCACTCTTCTGTCTAGCCATTTCCTGTCTCAGGGCACAGAGAGAAGCTTCCCGTACCAAAGCAGAGAGATCTGCACCCCTATAATAAAAGAAGCATTCTTATTTATTTATTCTTAGATATGATAAAAGCCCAGAAAGAAGCCTGACAGCAATTTCCTTTTAAGTCACATATTAAACAATAGGGAAAGAAACTGACCAATAAAGGTGAAATAAATGGATTATGATCAGTAGGAAAGAGCTTTTAGCTTTCACTTAAAAAACTTCTAACCTTTAGAAGAAAGGAAATTATGGAGGAAACAATTTGATGAATCACAAACATTCCCATCCTAATAGCTATAGATACTAATGTTAACATAAAATATCCAGTTAATAAAAAGAAACTTACCTATTATTTATTGTAATACTGTCATTCATAAGGGCTATGCTAAAATGCTGACCAGCACATTCATATATTACAAAATGTCTGAAATAAGTTTATGTAAAAAGTAATTTATGGCTGTAAGTTGGAAAGGCAAAAATACGAAGCCTAGAAAGTCTTTGATATACTTGATTCAAGTTCAAGCTGAGTGGACAAATCATAAGTTACCTAAAATATGACAAGAATTAACAAAGCTTCATTCATTTAATTACTCCATATAATAATATGCTGACTCAGCACAGTTCTGTAAGTTCAATGAAAGACACTGGTGCTGACTGGGGATTCACCCACATTATAATTTTAGGATACTTAGAGATTTCTGAGAGTCTGAATTTGGGACTAAAAACCTCACTTCTAGATATCAAACTTATTTATTATATAGTTTTGATGATCCATATAATATATAAAATTAAAGACCCAGAGAGCTTAAATTATTAATCAAGTCCAATGCCTCTGCTGGCTAAGTGTTAGAACATTATTATGTAATCATATATATTCCTTTCCTTAATGTTAAATCTAACACTGGTGCAGACACCTTTAGCTAGTACAAGCAGGTAGCTGAAGACTGTAGTAGTATAGTGTCTCTCAAACTGTGATGACAGTGGCATTAAAATCTAAAATGTACAGCATTCAACTTAAACCCTAACCCCTTTACATACTGACACCCTACTTGGTATAATCCAAAAGATTTGGTCCAGGGTAAGTTCTGCCATCAAAACTGCCTCTGCTACTCACTGAAAATTTTTTCAAATTTGAGCATGTAAAGCTGTAAACTACTCACTTTAGTCTCCCCACTGCCCCTTCCCCAAGTAGTAAGACCATTTAATTAAAGACTGGTATGAGTTTGACTCCCAGTTAGGGGGTAAAACACACCCTCCTTAGAGGAAGGCAGAGGCTTTTACATATGCCCCTCACCACCCCTGCCTGAGGCTCTGCTAATTTCTTCTTCATTGAGAATCACTGCCTTTGTTAAGTAAGACAAGGTTACTGGCCAGAGTGTGGCATCTCTCTCAGGCACACTAAGGTTGCAGAACAATTGAGATGTACTGCCCTGGATGTCCATTCATGAAAAAATTGGAGATAAAAAACTGTATCACACTTGGACCACACTCCTGAAAAATGATCAGTGTGGCCGGCCCGTGGCTCACTTGGGAGAGTGTGGTGCTGATAACACCAAGGCCACGGGTTCGGATCCCTATATAAGGATGGCTGGTTAGCTCACTTGGGAGAGTGTGGTGCTAACACCAAGTCAAGGGGTAAGATCCCTTTATTGGTCTTCTTCTAAAAAAAAAAAAAAAGATCAGCATGGTTTCAAGTGAAATCATCTTTATAAGAGATGGTTATAAAAAATTCTTCATCCAGAAGTGGAAGTAACTGAGTACCTATATCACTACCAGTAGATATGTTCTTTGGATATAAGTTTACACTGCTGAAGTACAGACTTGTGAAGACTTCAGAGGTGACAACACTGACTTACTCGTTTCAGGAAGTACCACCCATGTGGCCCTACTCTTGGAGAGGGTCATGAGCACCAAGCACACTGTGGACGATTAACAGAGCTTTGAAAGTCAGACAGAGGGGTAATGTCTCTGTTAGTTAAACCTGAGTCTCATTTTCTTCCCTGTTCCAAAATTGGGAAAGTCAACAAACGAGTTTACTTAAACACAGATGAAGGGGCTGGCACGTGGTTAAAGCATGGTGCTGACCAACCAAAACAAAAACAAGCAAAAATAACCCATGAAGGAAGAAACAAAACCACATGAAAGCTGAGGGCAGAAATATCAGACTTCCTGCTGCTGCTACAGGATGCATGGATGTGATTAGGTGTGTGATGAAAATGCATTCTCAGGCTTGGAAAATGTGGCACTTGTAGGTTAATCTTTCTTTAAATGCTGAAGCACCTGAGTAATTTGGCAGCCATTCATGAAATACCTGCTCGAGTATCTGGGAAGAACAGACAATTGAAGCATAGCAATAGTGGTTAGAGTAGCTTGAGTACCAAGAGTCAGCATATGAAAGGGTTCCCTTATTGCCAGAAATTCCTTCAGAGCCTCTGAACGGACAGACCCTTCTCTAAGAAGGAAGAAGCAAGGAAAAGCCAGACACTACATTAGGTGCTTTATAGGATACCTCATTTAATCCTCCTAGCAATATGGTGAGGTGGGCTTCATTACCCTCATTTTATAGATGAGGAAATTGAGCCCCAGAGAGTTCAGTGATTTGAGATTTAAATACTTACGTGTAACAGTCACAGCGAAGGTCACCAGCAATTTCTTCCAAATTTACATCTGCATCCAGTGGAGGTTTGGTGCCATTCTAAATAAGAGAAAAATGATTTTTCATTGAGGCTTTAAAGACTTATACTTGGGGCTGGCCAGTTAGCTCAGTTGGTCAGAGCAAGGTGTTGATAACACCAAGGTTCAGGGTTTGAATCTTGTCCCAGCCAGCCGCCAAAAATAAACAAACAAATTAAATAAATAACAATACTCATTCACATCAACAGGTTATTAACAAAGAGTAACAGTTGCTTGATTAAATGAATATCAGTAACTCCCAGATTAGTGTTGTAAGATTGCTACAAATTTCAATTTTGAGAAATGAGGTTAAGAAGCAGATTCCAAACCTGGGAAAGCTAAAGGCAAACAATTTATGCTCATAAAATCTGAAGAATTTGTGTGCAGTTGCAGCAAAAAATAAAATATCACCAATGAGAACAAAAACCATCACCTCAATCTTTCCAGAGGTGAGGAAAAACACTTCCTTTGGCTGATGAAATATGGAAAATACTCAGCAGTGCTTAGTTTTGATGTGAGGTTGGCTAGTATTATGGACTGAATTGTGTCCTACAAAGTTTAATGTGTTGGAGGCTTGGTCCCCGCAGTGACACTGTTAAGAGGGTGGGAAATCCTGTTATAGTAATTGAAAGGTGGGGCCTTGAAGAGGTGGTTAGACTGTAGGACAAGGCTGTAGTGAATGGGTTAATAATGGTGGTCAGGGGTGTGGTTCTGGGGGCTTTAAAAGGAGAGTGCAGCAGGGCCGGCCCGGTGGCGCACTGCTACAGTGCGCTGCTTGGGAAGCGCGGTGGCGCTCCCGCTGAGGGTTCGGATCCCACATACAGACCGGTTCCTGCTCACTGGCTGAGCGAGGTGCGGGCGCAGCACCGAGGATTGCGATCCCGTTGCCGGTCCCGGTCCGGTACGGGCGCGACACTGAGGGTTGCGATCCGTTGCCAGACACGAAAAAAAGACAAAAAGGAAAAAAAAAAGAAAAAAAGAAAAAAAAGGAGAGTGCAGGAGGAGGTTGGTCTCTCTCTGCTCCACCATTTTCACAATGTGACACTCCACTGTCACCGTCACCATCATCAAGACCCTCACCACATATGTTCCCTGAACTTCAGACTTCCCAGACTCTGCAACTGTAAACAATAAATATTGTTTCTTTATAAATTACCAAGTTCCAGGTATTTTGTTATAAGCAAGAGAAACAGACTAATACAGCTAGGAAAGGAGAAATAATATTGAACCTGGCCAGGAGAGAACAAGCAGTACTTAGGCTACAATAAAAGCCGAAAGCCCTTAATACATTCTTTCTTAACCCTTCATCTAAAACTCAACCCTGGGGGGAGAAAAATAAAACTCAACCCCAGGAACTGGCTGGTTAGCTCAATTGGTTAGAGCGTGGTGCCAGGGTTTGATCCCTACACTGGCCAGGAGCCAAAGAAAAGAACCACCACCAAAAACCTCAACCCTGATGTTGGTGCCAATTCCTCTTCAGCTCATATTAAGAGATGCTAGAAATGCCAAGTATCATAACAGTCTTAGAATTTCAACACTTAACACAGTAAGTAACTTGCATGCATAAGTACATATTGAACATTTTTAGTGATTTAACCTGCAGAGACAAGCAAAACACAGGTTTTCATTATTCAAAATGTATGAGATAGTAGGTTCACGACTGCTTTATTATTTTGATTCATAACTTACGTACACATTATATATATTCTTTCTATTTGAAGAAGAAATACACACAGAAAAGTGAACCAATATATGCCTTTACACTTATCTTCGTGTGAAACATCAGCCCGACAGAATGCTCCAAGCGTGAGTTCAGGTACTGCTGCCCTTGCACAACTACCTGTCACTGTGTCCACACTCACAAGGCCTCGCTGCCTCCCCACAGGGCAGTTCAAGAACTGCATACACTGAACATCTGCTAGTGCTATTACTGTATAAAATGTAAATGTTCATCTAACATAGGTTCCAGAAACAGTTACTTTTCCCATTTAATCTACTTTGACCTGGGAAATAAACTCTCTCTGTGACCTTAGGCAAACAATCTTTGCGCTTTCCACCCCAGTTGTAAAAGGGGTTGGACTGATGACTGCGAAGCATCTTTGAGTGTAAACAATTTTCAATTTAGTCAGGACAATGAATGGTTAACTGTGGGGCTGGGAGAGGTGGGTAGTGACTGAAAGGAAGCAGGAGGGTAGCTTTTTTTTTATTGTGGTAAAATACACATACCATAAAGTTTTCCCTTTTCATTTTTTTTTTTTTTTTTTTTTTTTTTTCCCCTTTTTGTCTTTTTTTTACTGACCGGTAACAGGATCGCAACCCTCAGTGTCGCGCCCGTACCATGCTCAGCCAGTGAGCGGGAACCGGTCTCCACATGGGATCTGAACCCTTGGCGGGAGGGAAGGCAGCGCACTCTCCAGTGCGCCACCGGGCCAGCCCAACCATTTTCATTGTTTTTAAGTGTATTGTTCAGTAGCATTAAATACATCCACACCGTTGTGCAACCATCACCACCAACCACCTCCAGAACCTTTTTCATCTTCCCAAAATGAAACTCTGCACCCTAGACACTAACTCCCCATTCCTCCCACCCTGTCCTACCCCTGGCAACCACCATTCTACTTTCTGTCTCTATGAGTTTAACAGGTAATGTTCTCTTTCTTGACCTGGAGGCTTTGCAACAATTCATGGAGCTGGACATTTAATGATATGTCCACTTTTCTGTACATGTATCATAGTCCAATAAAAAAACCTAAAAAGTGGTAATAATATTGGATCAGAAATTAGAAAATCTGAGTTTTAATATTTGTAAGTAAATGGACCTTTGGGAAATTTGCTAATCTTTACCTATTTTATTTTATTTTTTTTTGGTAATAAAAAAAAGTACCTTATCTCCAGACAAGTATATATAATTTTGCACTATATTTGGGAGGAGAGAGGGAAAAATCGTGTTTAAATAGTGATGGTGAACATATAATAGAGATTTCTTATAATGGAGAATAGTTTGGACTTTCCAAGCTGTTACTGAAGTGGGAATATCTGCCTTGTAGAAACGCTGCCTTGTGGAGTCTGTCAATCCATCATTAGAAGGTGTGTGTGTGTGTGTGTGTGTGTGTGTGTGTGTGTGGTTGTGATAGGACTACCACATCAGGCATAAGCCCTTATTAGTTGTTTTACTGTTCTTAAGAGCCTATCAACGTTACCTTGACTTTCACATAGCACATGGATCTTCCCTACATATATTCCACATGCTGTTAAGAGAATTTTGCCTCGAATTATCAACTGTCCTGTTTTAATCAAAAGCTCAGTTTTAAGAAATACATTCATGGGGGACTGCCTGAGGACAACTTTTATACTTCTCAATATCTAATTTCAATTCTTGGGTCAAGCTGGACTTTCAAAGCCCTGTGCACCTCAGAGTGCATTTCTCTGAACCTTCATAAAATGGCTTTTAATGAACCAGCTTTGAATAATGTCTTTAGCTTACGCTGAGAGGATGATCAGTCTCAGACCCAAGAGGCTTATTATTGTTTATGATAGGGACATTGTTCATCACATCTTAGTGTTCTCTTTACGAGGACCCAGAGGAGGAGCAACTGTCAGCTTTCTATACTCAGGCTTTCTATACTTTATGTGAAAAATTTTGTGAAAGAAAGCTCAATATTCAAAAGAAACACAATAAATGAGACGGGTATGTACTAAAAAAAAAAAAAACTAATTGTTATAAGCTTATAAACTCTAAAAAGTTTTCTAATTAGAAAATTAATCCTTTAGAAAAATATTCTTACTTGAAAGAAAGTAACAAACTGCCTTTTTCTGAGGCATGTCTACATAGGATACCTCCAAAAGCAACATTACTTTCCAGTTAGGAGAAATAAGAATCTTTGGATCATTAAAATCTAATTATCCTGGGCCGGCCTGGTGGCACACTGGATAGTGCGCCGCTTGGGAAGCGCGGCGGCGCTCCCGCCCGAGGGTTCGGATCCCACATACAGACCGGTTCCCGCTCGCTGGCTGAGTGAGGCGTGGGAGCAACACCGAGGGTTGCAATCCCGTTGCCGGTCCCCGGTCCGGTACGGGGGCAACACTGAGGGTTCGATCTGTTGCCGGTCACAAAAAAAGACAAAAAGGGGGAAAAAAAAAGAATATTCATGAGATACAAGCTAATTGTCACCCTTCCTGCCCATGATGTGAGGGCCAGATTCATACTGGAGGCATACCCATTACCAGAAATTACTATTGTACACCTTGTCCCCACCCAATTATCCCCCAACCTCCCTCCCCCTCCCCTACTCCCCCCCAATTACACTTTGTAGCCCTAGGAACGTTCCCTCCTTCTGTTAGAACATGGCACTACTGAGGAACACAAGATTTTATTTTATTTTTATTTTTTTGAAAAGATGACCGGTAAGGGGATCTTAACCCTTGACTTGGTGTTGTCAGCACCACGCTCACCCAGTGAGCTAACTGGCCATCCCTATATGGGATCCGAACCCATGGCCTTGGTGTTATCAGCACCACACTTTCCCGAGTGAGCCATGGGCCAGCCCCGAACACAAGATTTTATATCCTGCTTTTTTGAGATAAAGTTTGCTTATCAGTAAAACTGAAATAATATTCATTTAAATATTCAATTAAAAACCCTTCAAAGGGCATATCATAAGTGTAAAGTGAAAATAGTACCTGGAACACAGTAAGTGCTTAATAAATGTTAGCTATTATTTTATCAGATATTCTTAGGTCATAAAAATTTAACAGATAATGTTTCTGGTTGAGATGTTAATATCGTCTTTTAATGGTATTTTTATCACTATTTTAAAGACTGTATATTATCTTAAAGTATTCGGCAGACATCAAATAACTTTACTGGTTTTCTGAGATTAAGGTAAGTTTTAATGACACTTACAAGGAAGAAATGGAAGTTATGAAAAAAAATTTTACTTGTCCCAGGGAACTTTTAGAGATAGGCCTTTTGTTACCACATCATCACCAGAAACACCAAATAACAATAAGTAGAATGTCATC